TCAGACAGAGGTGCCACCTGTCCTTGTTTACCACTGGAGCTGCTCAGTCTCATTCCACTGTAGTTTAGAACATTTTTGCAGTGGGTTCCCTCTCCTCTTTCCTCTCCCTGGCTGCTGGTGAGGCCTCTGCTTCTGTCCCTAAATATCCAGGTTTCTCCTTGCCTTGCATATCCACACTGGGAACTTTGAGGCTGGCTGGGACCCCAGCATTGCAGCCACCCTCAGAAAATCACTCTGCATCCCTGGGGATGCAGCACAACGAGCTGGTTATGACTGAACCCTTGGCTGAGGTGCTGAAGGAACCTGCAGCTCATTTTGATGGAAAAAAAAAGAGTGGAAGGAAGGAGTTGGGGACAAAGAGCGAGAAACAAAGTCCAAAGGGCAGAGCAGGGCCCTGAGGTGAAACCCTCCTCCCTAAATCCCAAATCCCAAATGCTGATATCTTCTGGGAGTGAGGGGGGCAGGGCAGGGCTCGAGGCAGGGCTGAGGCCACATCTCCATGCAGCCATCAGTGACCCAGCAGTGTCACCCTGCAGTGTCACTGATCAGTGTCACCCCACAATGTCACCCCACAGTGTCACCCAGCAGTGCCACAGCTCACTGGGGTCCTGCTGCACCTCTCCTGCCTGGGAAGGAGGGAAATACCTCCCCAAACAGGGGCAGGCTGGCTGGAGGCTCCTGAGTGGGATTTAAGGATGCCTTGACTCCAGGAGAGCCTTGATGGGGTCATTTAAAAGCCCCTGGGAGCAGCACAGGCTGCGCTCAGCCTGGTGGAGGGGCTGGGCTGTGGGTGACTGGACAGAGTTTGAATTCCTTTTATTGCTCCTGGCTTTGGGATGGAGTCTCTGGGCATTCAAACAATGCCTGGTGAGTGACCTGCAAATGTTAAACCCTCGTGGATCTGACCCTAAAGAATGAAGCATCCCCTGGCAGGGCTGAGCAGGCTCAGGGCTGTGAACAGAGAGCCTGGAGCTGGGGATGTGACCCGGAGAAGGCAGCAGACACAAAAGGGGCTGAGGGCTGCACAAAGTGTCCCCAGCAGCCCAAAGGATGCATTTTGGGTCCATTACTGCAGCAAAGCAAACACAGAATCTGTTACACACAGGGAGAAGTGCAGGCAGGGCAGAAGGAGCAAATGCAAACACTAAAAAAACCCCAGCAGTATTTGCAGCACTAAAACCTATGCCAGCAGCCAAGGAAAAAACCACCACACTCAGCCCTGTCCCTCTGTGACAGCCCCAAAGTGGGACAGAGGGATGGGACCTCTGACTTTCTGTCTCTGGGCAGTAATACAGAAAAATGTGACCACAAAAAAGATGCAAGCGGTAAAACTTCAGGCTTTTTATAAGAAACAAAACCATCCCCAAGAGCAGGAATGCAAGGCTCAGAGGGAAGGAAAAGCAATGTAAGACAGGCCATATAAAAACACCTTTCCCCCCAGCCCCAGATCAATTATTTTGGAATTGTGAGGCTGCTTTAGTTCACCTGTGCATTAATTGCATATTTTTATAAAAATTTTAAATTTCTACCTGATTCTCCACCTCTGTCTCTCCTCTTTAGGTTAGCACACACAAACATCCCCCTCAGCCCTCCTGGAGCTGAGTGCTTGACTCATCATTATTGCCCAGACAGATTTATGTCTCTAAAACCTGTTTATTACTAAGCTGAAAGTCATTTTTATTTACTGGCCTCTGCCTCTTTTATGAGCTGCATGTACTTATTGGATGGTTTTATCCTCACAATTGCCACCTCCTCAGCTAAAGGAAGATTTTACCAACATCCCACCCTGTGTGTGCTGGGGCAGCGCAATTTGTTTAACTCCTGAGAATTCCAAGTCCTCCTGGGCTTTCCTCCATCTCCTCAGGATCCAGGGTGGAAAACCGTGCTGGGAGTTAAGGGCTGCAAGGGGAGAGGCTGGAAGAGGACGAGGAGGAGACCGAGGAAATTCAGACAAAAGGTAAGATGGGGCTGAACTCCCAGAGCCAGTGTTTGGCTTTAAATTCCTGCAGGCTGCAGTTCCCGGGGAACAAAGGAATGCAGGATATCAGCCAGCAGCATTCAGCCCCTGAGGAGCAGATGGTGCCTGCTGCCATCAGGACAGCTCATTGTTTCTCACCTCCTCTCTCCCCCAGCCGCATTCTCCTCCCCAGCATCTGCACCCTCTGTTTGCTTTGGTTTATCTTCGAGCTCCTTCCCCAGACATCCCTCGGGAGGGTTCCTTTTCCCAGCCGGTCCCTCTCGTGTTGGAGAACTTCCTGCAGTTTATTCATCTGCTGTAACAGAGAGCCTGCCTTGTGTGCTGCCCCATGGCAGCCAGGGCCTTTAGGGTCATCATTCCTACTGTTTTTAATTTCCAGCTTGTTTTATGAGCTGCATGTACTTATTGGATCGTTTTATCCTCACAATTGCCACCTCTTCAGCTAAAGGAAGGTTTTCCCAACATCCCACGCTGTGTGTGCCTGAGGAGCATTAGGGAATGGTTGCATTCTCTTGTCCAGCTGTTCCGTGGGGAGTGACTGCTACCTGAGCTAAAAAATAAGGAGAAATTTCCTGAGATTCTGTCCAGAGGATGGGATTACACTTGAAAATGTCATTGTCTTGTCTTTCACAGGACAGACCAAGCCAAACCTCGTCCCAAATTATCCTTCCTTCCCCACAGCTGCCATTCCCATTCTGGGAGCAGAATAATCAAATAAAAACATAAACCAGAACCAAAGAAACTGAAATAGCCACTGGATGCTTCAGCATCGGAACTGCTGGAGCTGGTCCCACCTCCTGCTCCGTAAAGTTTGGTCACCAAGCTTCTGTACTTGATTTCTCCATTTGCAAAATGCATTGTTTTTGGAAAAAACAGGACTTCTGTCTGTCCCTGCACAGGGCTGTCATCCAAAATTCACACCAGCTTCAGAGCAAAACCTATGGCCCCCTCCCACCTCATGACATGCTGGGAAAAATCCTGATTTAAACTCCAAAACCCGCTCTTGGTGTTCAGGGATGCACCAGGAGGTACCACAGGTGTTCAAGACACATTTTTGCAGCTGTTTCCCACCACCTATGGTTATAACAGCTGAGAATCACACGTGAGCAGCACGGAATTTTCCAAATAATTCCTAGTGAAGGGAGATTGAGAGGAATGATGGATTTGTCTTTACAAACAAGCTGTGGGTCTGCTGATAGATGAAACCAGCACTGAGAGATAAAAGAAACAATGGGATGGATTCCACTGATTGGTGAATGGAAAAATATATTTGCCTTTACAAACAAACTGTAGGTTTGCTGATGAATTGGATATTGAAAGGTGAAAGAGACAATGGGGAAACACCATAAATTCCATAAGAATTAAAAAATAAGAGGGAATTAATCAGCTCTAATGCACATTTTCCAGCCCGAGGAATGAGTGGCAGCACTGCTCTCACTCCCATCTGTGCCCTCCTTGCGACATTTTCACTGGGTTTTATACATTTGTCATCAGTATTTTGCAGGGATGTAAAATATCCTCAGCACTCATTTAACTGTAAATGGTTTTGAAGTGCACATTTCTTAACACTCAGTTGTTTTTATTATGTTTTATTTATTTTCCACCAGTGTTTCTATAAGGAATATTTATTTATATAAATAATGGTAAACATTGCTTTGGGAAGGTTTAATTTTACCTTTCCTCAGAGTTTTTTCCCTTAGGGGGGTTCTTATGTGGCAAAGGGGGTACCCATTTCCCACCCCCCTGAGTTTCCCATGTGGGGCATCCCCATCTCAGGGAAACGTCACCAGCTCAGGTCTGTTGGCTCTTCCCACGGGAAATCTCCATTTCCACATCAGAACACCCTGTTTGACTAGGGATGAGCTCACTCCACCTGATCAGCCTGCAAGGGGAAACATTCAAAAGCCATGGATTCAGAACTTGCTGATGGCAGGAATACAGGCAGGGGAAGGGGGAGGCAAGGATGGATGCAGGGATGCAGGCAGGGATGCAGGCAGGGATGCAAACAGGGGCAGAGGGATGCAGGTAGAGGTCCAGGCAGGAATGCAGGGATGCAGGAATGGATGCAGGGATGCAGACGGTGCGCAGGGATGCAGGCAGGGGAAGAGGGATGCAGGGATGGATGCAGGGATGCAGGAAGTGGCACAGGGATGCAGGCAGGGGTCCAGGGATGCAGGCAGGGGTCCAGGGATGCAGGTAGGGATGCAGGCAGGGATGCAGGCAGGGATGCAGGCAGGGATGGCACAGGCAGGGGGGCACTGCTCGCACACTGGCACAGGCATTTGGGGAAAAGAACAGCGCAGGGCAGAGCGGTGCTGTGTGAGGTGATGTGATGCTGTGTGATGCAGTGTCAGCTGATGCGATCTGAAGCGGTTTGAAACTGTCTGAAGTGATCTGAAGTGACAGGATGTGATCTGAAGAGACTTGAAGTGATTTCAAGCAGTTTGAAGCGATTTAAAGCCATTTGAAGCAGTTTGAAGCCATTTGAAGTGGTTTGAGGCGATTTGAAGCGGTTTTAAGCGATTTGAAGTGGTTTGAGGTGATTCAAAACCATTTGAAGCTGTTTGAATCGATTCAAAGCAATTTTAAGCTGTTTGGAGCGATCTGAAGTGGTTTGAAGCGTTTTGAAGCTATTTTAAGCTGTTTGAAGCAGTTCGAAGCTGTTTGGAGTGATTTGAAGCCGTTTGAAGGGTTCGGAGCGGTGTGAAGCGAGCGAGCCCCGCCGCGCCCCCTGCCGGGGCCTGGCTGTGGGGGTGCAGGCCGCGGGACTACATCTCCCTTGAGGCGCTGCGGCGGCGCCGCGCGCGCGCAGAGCGGGACCCCCCGCCCCCCCTCCCCGTGCGCGCCGGAGGCCGGGGCGGCCGCCCCGGCCCATCATGTAGGTGCAGCCGCGCCGGCCCCGCGCCAGCCGCGCAGGGACCCCCCCCCCCCGGCCCGGCCCGGCCCGGCCCGGCCCGGCCAGGCCCGGCGCGGCGCGGCGCGGCCCGGCGCACCCCGAGCCCCGCGCCGCCCAGGCGGGAGCGCGCGCGGCGTTCCGGGGGGGAGCGCGCGCCTCGCATCTTTTGTGCTCGGGCAGCTCGCCCCTCGGCGGAGCCGCGCGGGGAACGCTCTTTGTGCGCGCTCCCTCCCCCCCAGCCCGGCGGGGGACGATGTCTCAGCCCCGAGGTGAGCGCGCGCGCGTGTGCGCGCGTGTGCGGCCCGCGGGTGGGCGCGTGCGCGCGCGCGTTTCGCGCGTGCATTTGGCGGGTGCAGCCGCGCGTGCAACGGCCGCGGGCGCGCGTGCACTCGCTCGTGCAAACTCGGCGGGCGCGCGTGCACTCGCTCGTGCAAACTCGGCGGGCGCGCGCTCGCTCGCTCGTGCAAACTCGCGGGTGCCTGTGCAAAACCGCGCGTGCAACCGGGTGCGCGGCCGCGCGTGCGCGTGCAAGCGGGCGTGCAGCGGCGCGTGAACGTGCACGCGCGGGTGCGTGTGCACGTGCAAGTGCATGCACGACGCGCGGGTGCACGCGCGTTTGCACGCCCGCCCTTGCCCGGGGGTCGCCGCTCCCGGTGCCGGTCCCGGAGCAGCTCCCGGTGCAGCTCCCGGTGCAGCTCCCGCTGCATTTCCTGCTCGCTGGCGGTGCAGCAGCCGGGAGCCTCTCCCGGGACGAGCGAGCCCCCCCCGGCCACCTTTGGCACGGCCGGGAACGAGGGGGGTGTTGGAGGAGCAGCTGCAGCCGGGGCTCGGCGCGGGGTTAAAGCAAACTTTTTAAACAAGTCCGCGAGGGAGATGAAAGGTGAAACTGGAGTGGAGTTACCAGGAATTAAATATATACCTATGTTTCCATGGGAAAGTATTGTTCTCGTGCCAGCGCTGAGATAATTTTCCACCCATTTCTCTCTCCCCCCGCACCCCCCTTTAATATTTGGTAACTTTTGGTCAGAGGCAGCAGTGGGGTTTGTCACACCAGCACGCTCCGAGCGTGCAAAAAGGCAGGAATGGAGCGTTTGGGAAGTGCAGGAAGGCAGGAATTGAGTATTTGGGAGCTGCAGAAAGACAGGAATGGAGCATTTTGGAACTGCAGGAACGGGAGCATTTTGGAGCTGCAGCAGGGCAGAAGTTGAGAATTTAGGAGTTGCAAACCGGCAGGAATTGAGCATTTTGGAGCTGCAGGAATTGAGCATTTTGGAGCTGCAGAAAGGAATAGAGCGTTTAAGAGCTGCAGGACTGGAGCGTTCAGGAGCTGCACAAGGGCAGAAGTTAAGAATTTAGTCGCAAAAGGGCAAAAAGTGAGCATTTAAGAGCTGCAGAAGGGCAGGAATTGAGCACTGTGCAGCTGCAGCAATGGAGCGTTTTGGAGCTGCAGAAGTTGAGAACTTGGGAACTGCAAAAGGGCAAAAACGGGAGCGTTGAGGAGCTGCGAAAGGGCAGGAGCTGAGCAGCGGGAGGGGGTTTGGGAAGGGGACAGCAGTGATTTATTTCCGCCAGCGTGGTGGTGGCAAGGAACGCTCGCTCTTTGCTTTTTAACTCGCTGCTTATTCCGGAGTGGCTCTGCCTTGTGCCCTTGCAAGGGCGGGGAGGAGGGGGGAAGGCAGGGTGGGAGGAGGTGGAGAATTTAATATTGCAAAAATGCTGCGGGAATGCAACAGCCCCTGCAAGAGCAGGCGGGGAGAGCTTTAAGGAGGAGTTGCTGCGGCCATTCATTGTGAAAATAGATGCTCGTGTGTCAGCGAGCGGCCGCAGGGATGCAGCTTTTTGGAGCTTTTTTGGGGTGCTCCGGTTGGATGCTGCAGCTTGGCTCCCCCTGCATCCTGCAGCCCTTGCACATATTTGGGACTGGGGAGGGTGGGAGGCAGCGTTTGGCCCGGCGGGATCGGGTCCCAAACTGGGTTTGGAGCTGCCTCGTGTTGTGTTTGTTTATTTATTTATTCAAACTAAGCTGTCTGCGAAGCCTTCCACAATAATCCTTGCAAGGGAGAGCGTTGGGAAGGAGGTGCCCGCACGGCTCTTGCCACACAGTTTTCCTTTGTAAAAGAAAAATGTAAAGTTGTTGTATAATTTATTCCTAATTTGGGTTCACTGCAGTCATCTTTTCCAGCCGAGCAGGGAACTGTAAAAGTTTCCGATGCAAAGAGCCAAGGAAGTTTGATAATGCAGGATTGAACCCGGTGATACCCAGAGCACTCTGCCACCGGCAGAGGGTCCCTGGGACACCCCTGGGGGGGACAGGGTGGTCCCCAAAAAGCCTGGGGGTGGCAAAGGCTGAGCGTGCAGAGGTGGTGACAGCAGGACCTGTGCTGGTGGCCCTGCAGGGCTGCTGAGTGTCCCCCACGCTCCCCAGCATGGCCTTCTGCATCCTCCCCAGCACCAGGAAAAAGGGAAGATGGAAGAAGCCAACCCACAAAACACGATCTCAATGAATGGCATCATTCTTGACTCCCTTTCCCGTCCTCCTCGCTCCCTGCAGCACCAGTGCCTGCATTCCTCGCACAGATAACTTTTCCAAGTTCAGCTGTTCAGGCCGAGCTTTGCTCGGGAAGGGGTTTCAGCTCCGGGCTTTGCAGCAGAGGTGTGGTTCTTTGGGATAATCTGCGTTTCGGGATCAGCTTTCATGTGTTGCACAGGAGGTTCCTCGGCAGCTCTGGAAAATACAGCCCAGAGCCCCAGCCAGCTGCTGAGCCCTCTCCCTGCTTTGAATCCTTTCCAGAGTTGTTCTGAGAATTTGCCAGAGTTTAATTTGCTTGATGCAGAGTGTCAGGGGAACACGTGAGCAGCAGAGTTCCCACCTGGTTCAGGGGGACCCTACCTGTGCTACGCAAAAATCTGCTTTCTGCACAATCCACAAAGGTTAAAACTCTCCCTGGAATTCAGAAACAACACTTTCCTTCTGGCCTTTTCTGTAGCAGGAATGAGAGGATGCCTCCTCCAGCATTGTGCTCGTGGTTCTGGGCCGTGTTACCCATCCCCTGCACACAAAATGCACCTGAAGTCAAAGACACCCCTGCATTTCACCCTGGGCTTGTTCCTGCCTTCATTCCCTCTTTTAAGCTGCAGATTGGTATTTTCTTCTTTTTTTGTTGGATATAGCAAATCAGCTTTCCCTGAGCACAGCAGGTTCCTGCAGCCTGCTCCTCACCTTCAGAGATGAGGCTGCTCTGGCCAGGAGGGCCTTGATGGGAGCTCAGAAATTGAATCGTTGCCCAAATCCAGCCCATTTGGCTGCCACGATTAATAGGATATTATTTTGGAATTGGAGAGGGGGGAGAAAAAAAAAGTGGAAGTCCGTGTTCATTTCAAGCCAAGCACAGTCTGAGGCTGTAAATCCAGACTCTGGTGACAGCAGATATATTCAAGAGTCTCCCAAATTCCTGGCAACGGGGGAATTATTCCCTGGCAAAGCTCACATGGCAGAAAACACCTGCAAATATGCAAATTTCTCCACTGAAATAAGAAAAGGGAAGGGGGAGCAGTATCCATGAGAGCACTGATTCATAAATACATTGAAGTGATATTTGAACTAAGTATTGCTGCCTGTTGATCTCACACCTGAACCTCAGACTCACAATTTTCAGTGCTCCAGCTGCAAAAGGAAGCTGAGACTGTGAGCAGCACATCCCACGTGATGCTGGCTGAGCGTGCACCCTATGGACTTTGACCAAAGGCCCTGCACCTACTCCAAATACCACAATTTTATGTGAAACGCTCTTGTTTTCCCCAGCCAGGAGTCTCAGTGGAGCAGCTGCAGAGCTGAAATGTTAGCTGCTGGTGGTTTGTTTGCAGCCCTAGGTAGGTGGCAGGTTGTTGCTGGTGTAAGATTAACCTGCAAGCAGCTCCTGTGGGTTGTGCAATGTGCATTTTGCCTCATCAGCACCACCTCAGCTTCTCCCCACTCACACTCCCATGACACAGGCACTTGGCAAGGGCACAGCGAGCAAAGCCGTGGCACGGTCAGCCCAGGTGCAAGCCTAGCAAAGCCTGGACTAGCAGCACATTTCAGCTCCAGTTGTCGATTTATCTTTAATTAATTTTTATTTTTTTAAGGTTGCCCTGTTGAATTAGTTTAAGCGCTGTGCTGGAGGTGCCTGCTTTGGGTTAAGAGGGGGAAAATGTTCATTAAGAAGTTTAAAAACCTCCCAGGCTGGAGGAATTACCCAGCTGGGGAAGAGGAAAATGTGGTTTGTGCAGAAAGTGTTTGGCTGGGGAAGAGGCAAAGCACTGCTGTGTGTCCCCAGGTGAGCCAGGGGAGCTGAGACACCTGGGTGAGCCCCTGCACTGCCCTGGGGAGGTGTTTGCCCTGTCCCCATGTCCCAGCATGTCCCCAATGTCCTGACACTGGCCAGGGCAGCAGCTCCCCAGTGCTACCCAGGCTCTTGGTAGGGGAAGGACATAAATAATTGCAATTCTAGCAATAAAAGTGCTAAGTTGCAGGAAAAAGGGGGCAGAGAGCTGAGTGCTCCTGCCAGGCTCCTTTTTGTTGTTTGAGTCACCAAAAACTCAGAGCTTCCTTAGGGGTGAATTCCCTCCCCTGACACGTCCCCAAGCTGCTCAGGTGATGCTCCATGAGAACCACAGGAGGGGTTTGGAGAGGTGGGACACTTCATATGGAACCGTGGAATGTGGTTACAGCAGATTTGCAGATTCTGGGTCCTGTAGTTGAAAATACACAAGGACGTCTAAAAAGTTGCCTTTTTCCCCCCAAAAGTACCTGTGTTTGTTGTCACTTGGGCTTTTTCTCTTTCTGAAAAGAGCTGTGACAGTACCTCTAGAAGCCTCTCCAAGAAGGATTGGAAACCAGCACACCCGAAAAAAAGCTCTGATTCCTTTTTTAAGCTGGAAAAAGAAGAATACTCTGGGAGTTTTGTTAGCACAGGAGTGGGGATGCTTTTCCAGCCCTCTGCAAACGCACTTGGAGGCCCAGAGCTTCTTCCCCTGGCCATTGCGATGGTTCCCAGCCCTGCCCCAAGGGATTCACCCCATGAACTTGCATTCCTGGTGCTGCTCCAGCTCCAGAGGCAGAGCTCTGCCCCTCTGGGGCAGTGGAAGCACAGGGCAGGTCACAGCTGTGATGGCAGCGGCTGGCACAAGCCATTCTGAGACAGAGTTACTCACCAGGAGTCCCTTCCTGCTGTCACTCACCTTTTGGGGGACCATTTTGGGGTGCATTTACAGGTTGGCAGCGTGGCCA